GTATCTTCTTCCTCGTAACTCTGTTTTATCTTATTTTTCTATCATTGGATTTACCTCACGGCCTAGTTTTTGGTTCATTACTCACACGCCTCGTTCTGTCTCTTTTTGCATGCCATCCGATCTCTAAAGTTTGACGAAAAAATTAGATTTTTTTTTCCTACCGTCTCGGACATTTCTTTGAACCATCTTTCGGACTCCATAACTTTCTTAATTCTTAACGGTTTTACTTCATTCTTTCGCCAATCTCTTCAACTTACTTCATACTTTATCTTACATGACCTATTTTTCTCACTTCTTCCTGGAATGGATGGTTTTGGCATGCCGAAAGTAAGCCAAAAACCAACTTTTGAAATTCAAAATAAACCTCTCTAACTTTGTTTCTTTCTCCTCCATCTTCCTTCTTCTTCTTTTTCTTCACCTACAACACTAGTAAATGGTGGTTCTAGATGATAATGGAATTAGGTGATGGTGGTGGTGGCGGTCCGACGGTGTGCCGGTGGTGGAGAAGGTCGCGGGTTGGTGATAGTATAGGTTAAGGCCGTGGCTATGGAGGTCGGGGTGAGGAGGAAAAACATAGATAAAGAAGAAGAAAGAGAGTTTTGAGAATGAGAGGTGGTGGGGGAGAGGGAGGGAGGAAGATGATTTCACAGGGAAGGTGGGAGGTGAGAAAACAAGGGGAGTAAACCCATGGTTTTTGATTGGGTTTTAGTACAGAAAATATTACGTTCCAGTGTAATTTGATTACAAAAAAAATATAAAGAAAAATATAATAAAAATATCATACGGTTCAGAAATTAATATTGAGTAATAATATAAAGTCAAAAATATTTTATTTTATTTTATTTTGAATAAATTTTTAGTATAAAAATATACAAACTATTAAATTCAAAATATTGCGAATAATTATTTAAGAAAATTAAAAATATACATATTATTTTTATTATATAAAAATACGGGGTTTCACACCCACCCCGGGCCGCGGGCCAATTTTATACTCTTATCAATGTGAATGTTAACATGTCAATGTGAATATTCACATTATATTTCACAATGGTCTTCTCCTAAATTCATAGAAAAACTTTACAGAAGAATCTAAAAGCCGAACCCTGATTGATATGACAAAATGGCCTCCCGCCTTCAGGAAATATGATCCATTCAAGGCTAAGGTCCTTGCCTGCAAAGGAAATACTAATAAAATCAAACAAAACTCAGAATACACTGAACAATGGTGGAGGGGTACTATCCCAAGGAAATATACATAATTGGAGCACTGCAATAGAAAACTATTGCTTCAATTGTAGCAATTAGCCAAATCTGTTTCTGTTTAAGAGTGGTGTTTGGCAAGAAGGTTTGGGTGGGTTAGGGACTAAAATAGCCACAAAAAACAAAATAGGCTATTTTAGCCACAAAAAACAAAACATCAAATTCAATTCATAATCATTACAATCTTCTCTCACAAAAAAAGTCAAAAAAGTCAAAAAGCTAAAAAGTCTTTCCCAAACCAGGCTAAAATAGCCAAAAAGCCAACCCACTTCCCAAACGGAGGCTCAGTGAAATATATACATATATATTTGTTTCTTCTATTTCTTTTTTTGATTACAAAGACACAATAACCTATAGACCAAACAGACTAGCAAACATATATAAATGAACATCTAACTTACATATTGATGTATTAGGTGAGTTCTTTAAAATTACCAGATTTTCACCATGATTTACACCCATGTTTGCAAGTCCATGATTCATTGAGGCATTTCATCATACACTTGGAATAGATTTGAACAAAAAAAATAAAATACTACAAATCTGACCTTTGGTGTCTATAATTATTTGGATAAACAAAGATTTTCAAACAATGTAGTCCAGGGATGCCAAAGCCTTCTACTGTCGTTGATGGGTTTGCTGATGGAGAGGAGGGAGGCACAAGAATGTAGGTGTAGAGAGAGAAAGAGAGAGACGGAGGGAGGAATTGGTTCTGAATTTATGAAAAAGGCAGGGGAAGGGATTTAAATCTGGGATATGTAATTCAAAATAAAAAATAAAAACTTTCCGTTACTCACCTCCATTTGGCCAAAATGACAAAACTTGGCGTCATTTTGTTCGACTTTTGAACTGCACATACGTGGCTCCCTTCTCGTCGTCGGATCTGTCGTCGCCACGTGTCTCCATCTAGTGGATATGGCTGAAGGAAGCTAGACTGTAAAGGGCTGGAGAGGAGGGAGATCTAGTTTTTTGATTTTTTTTTTTAAGTCACATCATATCTTTATTTTTTTACACATTTTTTAAAACTAATTAAAAATATATTTTTTAACTACTTTGCCAAACAACCCTAATGCCACCCCGACTGGCAACAACTTCATAAACTTATTACAATCATTTTTCTTTACATGATGTTTCTGACAAATGATTTTGTAAATATGTTTTTTATGACTGTGCATTTAATTTTGAAGTTCAAAATAAAATATTGGCTTTATTTGAAAAGGGAGTTAAACTAAAATAACTCACTAAAAGATAGAATAAAATAAAATAGTCAATAACACAAAATGTCATATCTAATGCATAATTATTTTATTTTATTTTCTCACAATTATCAAATTAACTACAAAAAAATAAATCAACTTTTTAACTATAATTTTTTTAACAAGACTAAATTAGCCAAAAATTCAAATAATCAACTTCCTAAATAAGGCCATTAATATGAATCTCTCACATTCATTAATCATGAATATAAAAAATTTCATGCCATCAATAAAAACAAAAAGATGTGAAAGCATCTCTAATTACCCTATTTAATGGTTAAATTTATGCTTCGGCTTCTTTTGAGAATTTGACTATTCTAATTGATTTTTTAATTTTTAGATTTTTTTTTATTTTTAATTTTATTTTTATTTATTTATTTTATCTTTATTAACTATTTTAACCCTAACATGAGTTTCCAAACAGGGCCAAAATGTAAAATGGTGGGAGGTTCCAATCAAATTTGGCAACTTCTCCATAATTGTTAAAAATAATCAACTTCCTAAATAAGGCCATTAATATGAATCTCTCACATTCATTAATCATGAATATAAAAAATTTCATGCCATCAATAAAAACAAAAAGATGTGAAAGCATCTCTAATTACCCTATTTAATGGTTAAATTTATGCTTCGGCTTCTTTTGAGAATTTGACTATTCTAATTGATTTTTTAATTTTTAGATTTTTTTTTATTTTTAATTTTATTTTTATTTATTTATTTTATCTTTATTAACTATTTTAACCCTAACATGAGTTCCCAAACAGGGCCAAAATGTAAAATGGTGGGAGGTTCTAATCAAATTTGGCAACTTCTCCATAATTGTTAAATGAGTGATGCAAAAAATTCATACACAATGAGTTGACAAATGAGTGTATATTCATTTCAAATCAAAATGTCTATTAAAGTGATTTATTATTTAAAAATCCAGGTAATTTTTGTATGAATTTTTTATTTACAAATCATTTTACATATTAAATTTATGTGCTCACATGAATCATTTTTTTGGACGCCCTTGGGAATTTTCCCAAGAGCAGCGAATAGCTTTTCCATAATTTTTGTGATTAATAATTGGGGGTAGCATATTGGGCTTCTTGGGCTTGATGTGCTTTTCTCACTGGACTTTTTATCCGAATTTTTTTACCCGGTTGGATAGATTTCTAGATGTTGGACTAGCCCATTGTCACCGGTAAGAGTATCTCCATCAGTTCGCTTATAATAGTTTTTTGTTATTGTAAGGGTTAATTTTTTAGAAATTTTTTCCCTAACAGATCCCTTATATCATCTCTTAAATTTAGGAATGTTACAGTGACTCCCTACAAATAGGGAGTCACTGTTGCTCTTTTATATCTGAAAAATTCTTATTTTATTTCGCTGAAGGTGTGAATAAGAAGTCCCTGAATGTTCCGCTTGTATGTCCATGAGTGAAGAAAAAAAAATGCTCAAAAATGTCCTAACCGGCCGAGCACCCGAACGTCCAGCCCTTGTGTTTGCTTTTGCTGCTTTCCTTTTTGTAATTGATTGACTCCAACTCTAAGTGGGATAAAAAGCCTCCATTCTTGACTTCAAGATATTGTTTAATTATTTTATTATTAAAAAATATTCAAATTTAAAAATAATTAAAATAATTATTTTAATAGAATAGAGGAAGATTAGGGAGCTTGTTGGAAAAGGTAGATGAAAAAATAATTCTTAAAATAAGAAATAAATTTTTTAATAATATTTTAAAATTAAATTTAAGTATGCTGATAGAGATGCTCTAAGCAAGAGTCGCTGCTTCTCCAACCCAGCTGCCAATGCCTAGTTTGGCTAAGGCTAACAATAAGACCAGGATTGCCTTGAGAATTATTATTATTATTTTTAACAAGGACAATTGATATGCAAATAAGTTACTTTATATATTTGTCAAGAACTATTGTTTCTTAGCAATTTAATAGAATCCATTCGAGGTAATCAAGGAATGAAACTAGCTGAACCCATCCGCGGTGTTTGTAGACTGAATTAACATATATCAAAAATGAAATTGAGTTGTGATAAATTATCCATTTAAATAGATATTGATTCAACCTATGAAAATATTTCGAGTATGTTTGCTTTAATTTTTTAGAAATTTATTTTTAAAATAAGTTCCAAAAAATGAAAAATTAATTTGTTAAAAATAATTATAAAAAAAGAAAAGAAATTCTTACTTATCATTTTTATGTAATTTTATCTTTTAAAATATCAAAAATAAATTATTTTTATCAAACTAATTTCTATTTTTTTTTAAAAAAAAAAAATCTAAAAACCAAACCAAACAAGTCTCTAATGCCCAAGGAAAATTCAATTTTAAAATTTGCAATAAAAGCAGTAACGGTCGAAAAACCAGCTCGATGATGCAATTCAAATTTCAAATTTCAATTTTTTTTGAAAACGGTTTCCAATGAGAGAGCCGTTTCAAAAAAGCCTAACCTTCTCGATATTTATAATCTCCTCAAAATACCGTTCTTTCATTCATTCATTCATCATTTTCTAGCACCAGACGTCTTTGTATACGTCTCTCTCTCTCTCTCTCTCTGCATTTGTAGTAGTAGGCAATCGAGACAATCAAAAATGAGGGAGTGCATTTCGATCCACATTGGCCAGGCTGGGATTCAAGTCGGAAACGCCTGTTGGGAGCTTTACTGCCTCGAACATGGCATTCAGGTCAATCTCCCAAACAAATCCCAATTTTCCTTTCGCTTCTAATGTTTCTTTTCTCTGGATAAAATCCATTTACATACAATTTTTTTCACAGCCTGATGGACAAATGCCAAGCGACAAAACCGTCGGAGGCGGCGATGACGCCTTCAACACTTTCTTCAGCGAAACCGGCGCCGGAAAACACGTCCCCCGGGCTGTCTTCGTCGATTTGGAACCCACTGTGATCGACGAAGTCAGGACCGGAACGTACCGCCAGTTGTTCCATCCCGAACAACTCATCAGCGGTAAAGAAGATGCTGCAAACAATTTCGCCAGAGGCCATTACACAAGTAAGAAAATTGGTCTCTGTACTCTTTCTGTGATAATAATTGAGACTCGTAATAATTTTATTATTGGGTTTTTTTGTTAACAGTTGGGAAAGAGATTGTGGATTTGTGCCTCGATCGAATTCGAAAGCTTGCTGATAACTGTACTGGGCTTCAAGGGTTCTTGGTTTTCCACGCTGTTGGTGGTGGGACTGGTTCTGGCCTCGGATCTCTGCTTCTCGAAAGGCTTTCTGTTGATTACGGAAAGAAATCGAAGCTGGGTTTCACTGTTTACCCTTCTCCTCAGATTTCAACCTCCGTTGTTGAGCCGTACAACAGTGTGTTATCCACTCATTCCTTACTAGAACACACTGATGTTGCAGTACTTCTAGACAATGAAGCCATCTATGACATTTGCCGTAGATCTCTTGATATCGAGAGGCCTACTTACACTAATCTCAACAGGCTCGTCTCTCAGGTACTACAATTTAATATTTCACAACCAATTCATTCTTTTCTTCGTCAATAGTGAAGTGAAGGGATTGTGGGTCTGATTTGATTGAATTTGAACCCTCTACGTGTTCAGGTTATTTCCTCACTGACTGCGTCTCTTCGTTTCGATGGAGCTCTCAATGTCGATGTCAACGAGTTCCAAACCAATTTAGTCCCATACCCAAGAATCCACTTCATGCTTTCATCCTATGCCCCAGTTATCTCCGCAGAAAAGGCCTACCACGAGCAACTCTCAGTTGCAGAGATCACAAACAGCGCATTCGAACCATCTTCTATGATGGTGAAATGCGATCCTCGCCATGGCAAGTACATGGCTTGTTGTCTGATGTACAGAGGCGATGTGGTGCCCAAAGACGTGAATGCTGCGGTGGCAACCATCAAGACGAAGAGGACAATCCAGTTTGTGGATTGGTGTCCAACTGGGTTCAAGTGTGGAATCAACTACCAGCCTCCCACGGTGGTGCCTGGTGGCGATTTGGCTAAGGTTCAGAGAGCGGTTTGTATGATCTCGAATTCAACAAGTGTTGCTGAAGTGTTTTCGAGGATTGATCATAAGTTTGATTTGATGTACGCGAAGAGAGCATTCGTGCATTGGTATGTTGGGGAGGGTATGGAGGAGGGTGAGTTTTCGGAGGCGAGGGAGGACTTGGCGGCGCTGGAGAAGGATTATGAGGAGGTTGGGGCAGAGTCGGCTGAAGGTGAGGATGATGAAGGTGATGAGTATTAGATGGCGGTGTTTTTGAATGGAAAGCCAATGGACTCAATTGGTGTACAATTTGGAGATGGAATTAGGACTTGATTGTGTTTGTCTCTGTGTTTTTGTTTTGAACCGACTCTGTTTCTTTTAATTTTCTGATCAATCCAAGGATAGTTCTATGGATCTTGAATTATATTGATGTGTTGTTTTGTTTGCTATATTTTCTTGGGGCCATCCGCAATCATGACTGAAATTTGAATGAAAAACTAAATTAATATGAAAAGCACCAATGGCAAAAACACCACTCAATCTTACTAGGTAGCTCAAATTCATCTAGGCTTGAATGGCTGAGGTACCAAAACAATTTTTTTCTTTTATTTTCTTCTTCCTCTGTGTTTAGATCTGTTCTTCCTTTTTTTTTTCCTTTTTCATTTCCTCTTCCATAAACTTGGAATCAAAAAAAGAGGCAGAGGGGAGAGAGAGAGAGAGAGAGAGAGATAAGTCGGGCTATTGAATCCCTATTTTTTTTTTTACCTACGAAGCTTTTATTTAACACCAATTATTTTGATTCTTTTTAAAAATAAATATGCAAATATAACCAAGGTTTTGGGGGGGTTTGGGTTTCGGCCATACTCACAATAGAGAAATCAAACATAAACAACATTGTATTTAATCGGTAAATAGGAGAGGGATTTGAAAATATAAAGAAAAAGATTACCAACTCTCACTTGTGTTGTTTTCAAATTGTAGATGCTGAGAAAATTTTTCTTTGAAAAAATATTCTTGTGCTATGTTAGCATAAAAAAAATTATGGCTAAATTAATTTAACCTTATTTTTAAAAATACAGTATCACACGAGCCTCTTACTTTACCATCATTCATTAGTTATATAAATAGATAACAATAATCACATCTTTTATAATACTAACATTTTTTTTTTAGTTTTAATTATTTATTTTTACATTACATGCATTAGTTTTATTTACTTCAATATTAATGGTTTAATTATTTTAATTTTGTGAAATTTATTACTGTGTATAATTTTCAAACTGGTGTTAAAAATTATAATAACACCAATTTCAATAAAAATTAAATGACAAAATTTAGTATAACTATGAAAAAGAGGAGTGTAAATTGTAATTCCCTTCATAAAAGAACAAAAAAGAGGGCCTAATTTGTGATTTCACATTAGGTAGGGACTGCGTGAGATCCTCTATTGTTCTTCCTAACTGTACAGTAGATACTCCTAAGCAGGAAGGAAGCTGAACACTTGAGAATCCTAACCTAACCCACCAAATTCACTCCAACTTCAGTGTTTTGCACATGCCCGATTTAAAATTCTGATGCCAATCCTCCTGCCCAAAATGAAATGTAAAAAGAATAAGTTAGTCTGACTAATTATTATAAATTATAATTATATATAATATATGGCATAAATGAGATTCAATTTAACCCGAACCTGAATCCAACCCATAAATAATAATTGCCATAGAAATTATTAAAAAATATTTACACAAATATTTTTTTAAAAAATAATAAAATTACAAAACTCAAACTAGTAGAAAATCCAAGATTGATGAATGATCAAGATTCACACAGGAGAATCTCAAATAATGAAACTTAAAGACCATAACAAACTTGTAAATATATCAACACGTAACACTTTAGGAATGCAATAAAAATAATGGTAGACACTTAAAAATTTGTATGCAGTGTCACTATTGCGCGTGAAGTACAACAGTGATTGTTATGCGACTTGTGAAACTCATTTTGTATCATATTTTGATGATTCAAATCGTTCAAATTTTAATAAATATCAAGAACAATAACATTAATGACTTGTTCATCAAATAACATCTTTATATAATAAAAAAAAATTAATATATATATATATATCAAATTAAATACAAATGTTATTTGATGAGGAGATTATTAATACTCGATCAACTTGATTTACAAGTATGTTGTTCTTAATACTTTTTAAATTTTCAACGGTTCGGATCATCAAAATATGACCCAAAATAAGTCTCATGAACACACTAAATCCTAAAAATTCTATCAAATGTCTCGTGTGGGACCCTCACAATTTGAATTTCATATAGATCTTATACTCATATGAAATATTTGGTAAATTTTTTTAAAATTTTTGGAGCATGCAGTATTTTTGGTGCAATAATTTTCCCTTGTGGTGTGTTTTGTTGCAAACAAATCACCAATTAATATCAACAAACAAATTGGAAACTTTAAGCAAAATCAAATTTCAACTTAATTACGATCTTTGAAAGACATCACAAAATCAAATTTCAAAAGAAATGAAAAAATGGCAAACGATGAACACAATTAAATTCAAGAAAAAAAAACACACATGAATGTCAGAGAGAGATAAAAACGAAGAGAACGAACCTTGATTGGATCAGTGTGACGTTTTGCCGCTGAGAGGCGAAGCAGGTAAGATCGGCCTCGAGAAAATCATGACATCCATATGCGAAGAAACCAGGTGATGATGATGAGCAGAGCCCGAGACCTCACCGAAGTCCTCACCGAGGTGAGAATCCTCCTCTCTGATCCTCAAGATCTGGCTATGCACGTAGACATCATTCTTCGGAGTCCACTGCCCAAACTTCGCCACCGACCTCGGCGATTCCATCTCTTTCGACGATCCAACACTTTCTTGATCGGTCTCGATCTCCGTACCACACACCTTCGGATTCGGCTTGGTGTACAGTTTCCGATCAAATTCTCGTTCTGAAAATCTCTTCCCGCCGATTTTACCTACGGAGGAAAACTCCTTCGATCTCTGGAGATCAGAGCGAGAGTTGTCTTTCACAGCCATTTTGATTCAAAAACCAGACGATCTTTAAGAGAAACAAACAAGGTCTAAGATGATTAACAACAATGGCGGCAAAGGCGCTCGTTAGCAGCGCAATTTAGCTTCAAGTAACCGAAGAAACACGGGACTGCTGTATGGGGGTGATGATGATGTGTATATATAGGGGAAGGAGTGTAACGGAGTGCTGAGGTGGCGCAATATACTTGGCTGAAGTGTTGTGAGTCCACGCTACTTTCTTGTTTTGGGACAAAGATTCTCAATCCCTAAATAACTTTCTCATCTTCTCAATTAATTCATAAAATCATATAAAAATCTTAAAATATAAAAATCTTAAAATATATTTAATAATTATGAATGAAATCTTCTCAATTAATTTATAAAATCATATAATTAATTCATAAAATTATATAAAAATCTTAAAATATATTTAATAATTATGAATGAATTAAAACAGGAGCTAAGATTATTAGAGTGCAGACGATTCTTACACGAACACCATTGAGTTACGTGAATGAATGAAGGGGATCTTTTATTGCGACACGTGTTCGGTTATTGAGGTAAGGGTCACGAGATTGTGTGACCATTGTATCGCAAAATAATTCCCAGTAGTTCAGATACAGTTGCCGGAGAAGTTCATATCTATTTTTTTACACGTCACTATATCTCTCTCTCCCTCCTACCTACCTGAATGCCACGTCACTTATGTTGTGTCCTCTTTAAGTGCAATTATTGAGTAATTTTGTCACCAATAATGTTACATAGCCCCACATAAAAATTTAAAAAATATACAGAATATTATATTAATGATTTAAATTCATTTTATATATGGATATTAACAAATGATGTGGTATAGTTTTAAAAATTTTAGATATTTATAATTTATATAATAGATAGGGTCAATATTAATGTCATAATATATGTTGATACACTAATTAATATACCAATTAATACATGTAACACTACCGTATATAAATCCCACATTTCATCAAATCAATTTCCACTACATATATCTATTTTGTGTGCCAAACTCTAAGGCCCTAATTTATTTATTATTTTAATTGTAATTAATTTAAATGGTAAGGTTGAGCACATTTACATTACCTATTATCGGTAAGTCTAACACCAACAATTATTATCAAAAAAAAAAAAAATCATAGAAATAATAATTTAAGAAAAAAATTTCTATTATAAATAAATAATTGAAAGCAAAATTAACTTTTTAATATATTCAATAAGAGAGTATAAAAATGACCAACTAAATTAATTGTGTTGATTTCCTATTAGCATTTTTTTTTTTTTTGGGGGTTTTGAATGGGTCCTTCTAGAAGTTAAAATAGAGATTTTTGTAGTGATTATGTAACAAATAATGTTAGCATAATTAAATAGTATCTTACATGTTTTTGATATGTTGTGCCGATACATGGCAACTGATAATTATGATACATGATTTCGTAACCGAATTTATTATAAAATAGTGATAATCACAACAGTACTCTTATAGGAATGGCAATGGGGCGGGGCGGGGCCGGGAATCACCCTCCCCGTTCCCGATCCCCGAAACTACAAACTTCCCCGTCCTCGGCCCCGATCCCCGGCGGGGAACCCCTCACCCTCCCCAGTCCCGCCCCCAACGGGGATCGGATTTTCCCGACCTCGAAAAATTCCCGTCTCTGTTTAGCTTATCATCATCAACAACATCATCGATCATCAACACCAACATCATCGATCATCAACAACATCATTTTCATCAACGGTAACATCATCAAAAAAAAAAAAAAAAAGACAGATCTGGTAGGAGGGAGGAGCCGAGCCGACGGATCTTCTCAAATCTGACGGTGGCCTGGCGGAGAAAGACAGCCGCGAGAGGCGACGAGAGGAGGCTACGAGAGGCGACGTAGGAGGAGGAGGAAGTGGCGGAGAGGCGGCAGTGGCCTGGAGGAGGAGGAGGCGGTGGTGGCCTGGAGGAGGAGGAACTGACTGCGTTGCGTAGCGTCTGTGAGAGAAGAGAAAGAGTGAGAGAGTGAGAGAAGAGAGACAGATCAGAGAGAAAAGAGATCAGAGATATATAATAGATATATAATAGATTAGATCGGGGATTTGGTATATAATATAATAATAGATATATAATAGATTAGATCGGGGAGAAACGGGGCGGGGAACAGGACCGGGGACGGGGCTATAAAAGTGATCCTCGTCCCCGGCCCGAATTTGATTGGGGATTCAATTTTAACTACCACCCCCGGCCCATCGCGGGTATTTTTCGAAGAAAAACCATTCTTATCGGGGACAGGGGGTCGGGTCCCCGTCGGGCCGGTTTCAAATTGCCATCCCTATACTCTTACGGAAGGTTTAAGCACTAATCATATTATTTTAATTGAATTTCATTTTATTCATACTATGTGGAAGGAAAGAAATTTATGAAGGATTGAAATAGTGAGATTCTTTGTATTAAATGAGATTATCACACTATTTTAATTAATTATAAAAATAAGTTTTATTTACATGAAAAAAAAGGTTGTTAGAATGTTGAAATGGGTAAAGTGCCTTGAGATTCGCGTTAAGGATGATTTGAAAAGTTGATTAAAAAATTAACTTTTGATTTTTTGATTTTTGATTTTTGATTTTTTATATACTCTTACGGAAGGTTTAAGCACTAATCATATTATTTTAATTGAATTTCATTTTATTCATACTATGTGGAAGGAAAGAAATTTATGAAGGATTGAAATAGTGAGATTCTTTGTATTAAATGAGATTATCACACTATTTTAATTAATTATAAAAATAAGTTTTATTTACACGAAAAAAAGGTTGTTAGAATGTTGAAATAGGTAAAGTGCCTTAATGAGATTCGCGTTAAGGGTGATTTGAAAAGTTGATTAAAAAATTAATTTTTGATTTTTTGATTTTTGATTTTTTATTTTTTGTAAGTAAAAAATATGAAGAGTGAACTGACTTAAAATAAATTAAAAGTTAAAAGTTAATTTTTAATTAGTTTGCCAAAAAAAACTCCTAAAATCACATCAAATACCAAACAGTGGAGTTGGACATAACAAAATCGTGCGCGAGGGATTGACATGCGTGCGTGAGATATTGGAACATGTATTATGTGCAAAATAAATTATTTAACCAGGCTCCGTTTGTTTGGGGTTATAGGAAAGGGATTGAGTTTAGTAGTAAGGAGGGGATTGAGAATGGGGTGTTTGTTTTGAGAGATAGGGAGGGGATTAGTAATCCCTTGGTATTAGTAAGGAGGATGAAGGGGGATTGTTAAGGAGGACGTAGAGATGGTATTAGAAAAATAGTGAGGGGATTATAATTTTTTATATTTTTTATATATTGAGAATTTTTTTTAAATATAATGTTTAATTTTTTATATTTTTTTATTTGTTTTATTATTTTGTATAAAAATAATTTAACAATTCCTCACTATTAATCCCCTCATTTTTTATATATTGGGAATTTTTTTAAAATATAATGTTTAATTTTTTATATTTTTTTATTTGTTTTATTATTTTGTATAAAAATAATTTAACAATTTCTCACTATTAATCCCCTCACTATCAATCTCCTCATTAATAATCCTCTCACTATTAATCTCCTCACTATAAATTTCCTCCATTCTATCTCTGAAAACAAACGGGCCTGAGGACGAAATTGAAAAACAAGTGGCGTGTTGTTTGTGAATTGGGTATTCCCTATCCGATGTTGAAGTCAAATTCAGCTCTCTCTCTTTTTTGTCTTTATTTATTTTTTTATCTTTTTGGGGTATGGATTTGCATAGCTTTTAAGCTTCACCTTACTCAACGGACTAAATGAGGAAATTCAAAAAATATGGTGGGAGTCATTACACGTGTGTGCCTTGCCTTACATTAAATTCATTGGCCTTTTCAGACCAACCCGACCCATTTTACACACAACACTAAAAAGAGGGCTGGTTTGGAAAGTTAGTTATTTTAATATATTATTCATAATTATTTTAGTAGGTTAAATTATTTATTTTTGAAATATGGTTGAATTTTTTTAGTTAGATGTGATATTTATAAGAAAAAAAGTAAAATAATTATAAATTTGATGTGATATTTTATCTTATTAATTATTTTAATTTCTTTTCTTTTCTTTTATAAATTTTAACTTAAAAAGCCAAAAAAAAAAAACTTTTGCCAAATAAGGCCATAGTGATAAAGGGGCGTGTATCGAAACAACAATGATTCATCCCACTAAAAACATTATCACTAATAGTACTAATGCATTAAAAAAGTAAAAAAACAAAAAAAAATACAATTCCAAGACCAAAACATCACATCATTAATGGCGGGACCCACTGCCACCTAATTAGTGGGAGTACTAATTAGTGCTCCCAAGCATTTTTCGTATCGAAAAGGTGTGGCGGGACAGGACGATAGCGGGAGGGGTAAATTGTGTAATTTTAAAAATAATGATATTAATAAAGATAAAAAATGATGTTGTCACTACTAGAAAACTGGACTTTTGAGTCGGCAACATGCCGTCGCATTGAGGCTAAATGTTTTAAAAAAATTGCCGACTCAAAAAGTGGTTAAATGTTTTAAAAAAATTTAACCCACAATTTTCTCATTGAGGCTCCCAAGTTTCGGACACACTCCATTTGGACAATTTGACCCGAAGTCACCGCACTAAGTCCACTTGACCACCATACCTCTTTCAAATATTAAATGAGATATATATTATTTATAGTATATACACTCAATATTAATATAAAAGTATATGTATAAATAAATATATTTATTAAATATAATCAAGTAAATATATATATATATCTTGGCTATAATATTTTTTTTTTGCTACGACATCAGTTGCCGACACAAAAATGTCTAATTTTTTGCGTCGGCATAAATTTGCCGACGCAAAAGGTCTATGCCGACTCAAAAGGTCTATCTTTTGCGTCGGTAAATTGAACCGACTCAAATAATGCTATCAAATATTAATTTTTTGTATCGGCCAACGGTGCCGACGCTAAAGGTTTGGTATTTGAGTCGGTAACTCTGTGCCGTCTCAAAAAGGCTACCTTTTGCGACGGTAAAATTTGCCGACTCAAAAAATCGACTCAAAAGGTCCTTTCTTTAGTAGTGTGTATATTATAAATAATGAATGAATTAAAATATGTATAATGAAAAATAAGTATAATATTTAAAATATTAAATTATATATATATATATGTGTGTGTGTGTGTGTGTGTGTG